CACAAACACTCAGCAACTAGTAGAATCACAACATCATCACATCATTCACACTTGTGTTCATTGTGAATAATCGGTATTCTCCTTGGTTGTAGTTGCATGCACGTGTCGATCCTACACACTCACACACCTGTCACGATCAGTCTCTTTCCAATCATGCCTATTTGATTGCTTCAACAATCAACCTACCACCAACAATGACACTTTCAATACATGACGGATTCGCTGTTCAGGCTGATCAGTTCACGTTGTGTTTGTGTAGCAATCTTCACATAATTTCTCGCTCTTCTCATTCCACAATGTGTATGTGCCACTCTTCCATACATGTGTGATTTTCATTTGTATCAATGCATACTAATCTACAAATATCTCGTTCATATATATTCACTCAATCATCCAATAACACAGTCAACCAGTCAATCAATCATTCTATCCAACAATTATTCAATCAATATCTCCTCCACACATTCACACACACACACACATTCACTCATTCAATCATTCAATCATACACTCAATCGCTCACTCTCACTCTCACAATCAATCTCACTCTCACTCAATCTATCAATCTCCCTCAATATATCTCTCTCTGCCACAGCATTCCACATACACTCACAAACACTCAGCAACTAGTAGAATCACAACATCATCACATCATTCACACTTGTGTTCATTGTGAATAATCGGTATTCACCTTGGTTGTAGTTGCAAGCACGTGTCCATCATACACACTCACACACCTGTCACGATCAGTCTCTTTCCAATCATGCCTATTTGATTGCTTCAACAATCAACCTACCACCAACAATGACACTTTCAATACATGACGGATTCGATGTTCAGGCTGATCAGTTCACGTTGTGTTTGTGTAGCAATCTTCACATAATTTCTCGCTCTTCTCATTCCACAATGTGTATGTGCCACTCTTCCATACATGTGTGATTTACATTTGTATCAATGCATACTAATCTACAAATATCTCGTTCATATATATTCACTCAATCATCCAATAACACAGTCAACCAGTCAATCAATCATTCTATCCAACAATTATTCAATCAATATCTCCTCCACACATTCACACACACACACACACATTCACTCATTCAATCATTCAATCATACACTCAATCGCTCACTCTCACTCTCACAATCAATCTCACTCTCACTCAATCTATCAATCTCCCTCAATATATCTCTCTCTGCCACAGCATTCCACATACACTCACAAACACTCAGCAACTAGTAGAATCACAACATCATCACATCATTCACACTTGTGTTCATTGTGAATAATCGGCATTCACCTTGGTTGTAGTTGCAAGCACGTGTCCATCATACACACTCACACACCTGTCACGATCAGTCTCTTTCCAATCATGCCTATTTGATTGCTTCAACAATCAACCTACCACCAACAATGACACTTTCAATACATGACGGATTCGCTGTTCAGGCTGATCAGTTCACGTTGTGTTTGTGTAGCAATCTTCACATAATTTCTCGCTCTTCTCATTCCACAATGTGTATGTGCCACTCTTCCATACATGTGTGATTTTCATTTGTATCAATGCATACTAATCTACAAATATCTCGTTCATATATATTCACTCAATCATCCAATAACACAGTCAACCAGTCAATCAATCATTCTATCCAACAATTATTCAATCAATATCTCCTCCACACATTCACACACACACACACATTCACTCATTCAATCATTCAATCATACACTCAATCGCTCACTCTCACTCTCACAATCAATCTCACTCTCACTCAATCTATCAATCTCCCTCAATATATCTCTCTCTGCCACAGCATTCCACATACACTCACAAACACTCAGCAACTAGTAGAATCACAACATCATCACATCATTCACACTTGTGTTCATTGTGAATAATCGGCATTCACCTTGGTTGTAGTTGCAAGCACGTGTCCATCATACACACTCACACACCTGTCACGATCAGTCTCTTTCCAATCATGCCTATTTGATTGCTTCAACAATCAACCTACCACCAACAATGACACTTTCAATACATGACGGATTCGCTGTTCAGGCTGATCAGTTCACGTTGTGTTTGTGTAGCAATCTTCACATAATTTCTCGCTCTTCTCATTCCACAATGTGTATGTGCCACTCTTCCATACATGTGTGATTTTCATTTGTATCAATGCATACTAATCTACAAATATCTCGTTCATATATATTCACTCAATCATCCAATAACACAGTCAACCAGTCAATCAATCATTCTATCCAACAATTATTCAATCAATATCTCCTCCACACATTCACACACACACACACATTCACTCATTCAATCATTCAATCATACACTCAATCGCTCACTCTCACTCTCACAATCAATCTCACTCTCACTCAATCTATCAATCTCCCTCAATATATCTCTCTCTGCCACAGCATTCCACATACACTCACAAACACTCAGCAACTAGTAGAATCACAACATCATCACATCATTCACACTTGTGTTCATTGTGAATAATCGGCATTCACCTTGGTTGTAGTTGCAAGCACGTGTCCATCATACACACTCACACACCTGTCACGATCAGTCTCTTTCCAATCATGCCTATTTGATTGCTTCAACAATCAACCTACCACCAACAATGACACTTTCAATACATGACGGATTCGCTGTTCAGGCTGATCAGTTCACGTTGTGTTTGTGTAGCAATCTTCACATAATTTCTCGCTCTTCTCATTCCACAATGTGTATGTGCCACTCTTCCATACATGTGTGATTTTCATTTGTATCAATGCATACTAATCTACAAATATCTCGTTCATATATATTCACTCAATCATCCAATAACACAGTCAACCAGTCAATCAATCATTCTATCCAACAATTATTCAATCAATATCTCCTCCACACATTCACACACACACACACATTCACTCATTCAATCATTCAATCATACACTCAATCGCTCACTCTCACTCTCACAATCAATCTCACTCTCACTCAATCTATCAATCTCCCTCAATATATCTCTCTCTGCCACAGCATTCCACATACACTCACAAACACTCAGCAACTAGTAGAATCACAACATCATCACATCATTCACACTTGTGTTCATTGTGAATAATCGGCATTCACCTTGGTTGTAGTTGCAAGCACGTGTCCATCATACACACTCACACACCTGTCACGATCAGTCTCTTTCCAATCATGCCTATTTGATTGCTTCAACAATCAACCTACCACCAACAATGACACTTTCAATACATGACGGATTCGCTGTTCAGGCTGATCAGTTCACGTTGTGTTTGTGTAGCAATCTTCACATAATTTCTCGCTCTTCTCATTCCACAATGTGTATGTGCCACTCTTCCATACATGTGTGATTTTCATTTGTATCAATGCATACTCATCTACAAATATCTCGTTCATATATATTCACTCAATCATCCAATAACACAGTCAACCAGTCAATCAATCATTCTATCCAACAATTATTCAATCAATATCTCCTCCACACATTCACACACACACACACATTCAATCATTCAATCATTCAATCATACACTCAATCGCTCACTCTCACTCTCACAATCAATCTCACTCTCACTCAATCTATCAATCTCCCTCAATATATCTCTCTCTGCCACAGCATTCCACATACACTCACAAACACTCAGCAACTAGTAGAATCACAACATCATCACATCATTCACACTTGTGTTCATTGTGAATAATCGGTATTCACCTTGGTTGTAGTTGCAAGCACGTGTCCATCATACACACTCACACACCTGTCACGATCAGTCTCTTTCCAATCATGCCTATTTGATTGCTTCAACAATCAACCTACCACCAACAATGACACTTTCAATACATGACGGATTCGCTGTTCAGGCTGATCAGTTCACGTTGTGTTTGTGTAGCAATCTTCACATAATTTCTCGCTCTTCTCATTCCACAATGTGTATGTGCCACTCTTCCATACATGTGTGATTTTCATTTGTATCAATGCATACTAATCTACAAATATCTCGTTCATATATATTCACTCAATCATCCAATAACACAGTCAACCAGTCAATCAATCATTCTATCCAACAATTATTCAATCAATATCTCCTCCACACATTCACACACACACACATTCACTCATTCAATCATTCAATCATACACTCAATCGCTCACTCTCACTCTCACAATCAATCTCACTCTCACTCAATCTATCAATCTCCCTCAATATATCTCTCTCTGCCACAGCATTCCACATACACTCACAAACACTCAGCAACTAGTAGAATCACAACATCATCACATCATTCACACTTGTGTTCATTGTGAATAATCGGCATTCACCTTGGTTGTAGTTGCAAGCACGTGTCCATCATACACACTCACACACCTGTCACGATCAGTCTCTTTCCAATCATGCCTATTTGATTGCTTCAACAATCAACCTACCACCAACAATGACACTTTCAATACATGACGGATTCGCTGTTCAGGCTGATCAGTTCACGTTGTGTTTGTGTAGCAATCTTCACATAATTTCTCGCTCTTCTCATTCCACAATGTGTATGTGCCACTCTTCCATACATGTGTGATTTTCATTTGTATCAATGCATACTAATCTACAAATATCTCGTTCATATATATTCACTCAATCATCCAATAACACAGTCAACCAGTCAATCAATCATTCTATCCAACAATTATTCAATCAATATCTCCTCCACACATTCACACACACACACACATTCACTCATTCAATCATTCAATCATACACTCAATCGCTCACTCTCACTCTCACAATCAATCTCACTCTCACTCAATCTATCAATCTCCCTCAATATATCTCTCTCTGCCACAGCATTCCACATACACTCACAAACACTCAGCAACTAGTAGAATCACAACATCATCACATCATTCACACTTGTGTTCATTGTGAATAATCGGCATTCACCTTGGTTGTAGTTGCAAGCACGTGTCCATCATACACACTCACACACCTGTCACGATCAGTCTCTTTCCAATCATGCCTATTTGATTGCTTCAACAATCAACCTACCACCAACAATGACACTTTCAATACATGACGGATTCGATGTTCAGGCTGATCAGTTCACGTTGTGTTTGTGTAGCAATCTTCACATAATT